TTTTGCATACCTATTTTTTTTTGTAAACTGTCTATATCACCATGATACACTTCTTTGATATTATTAAGTAACTCTTCTTGTTGTTGCTTACAATTTGATAAGCTATAAGAAAATTATAATTTTTATATTGATTTCCACACATTTGCCTGAATTAATGTTATAATTCAAAAGCCATTTGAATATAGTAAATTTTCATAATTAAGTGCCCAAGAAATAAAATGTGAATGTTTTCAAAAGTTCAAATTAAATCCTTGTTCATATTTAGAGCATTTAATAAAACATTTCTAATTTTAAATACTAGAATCTATGATTAGATGTAATGAAAACATATATAAAATTTTATAAACAATTCTGTAATTTGTATATTCTGCATTTTTCTGTAAAATGTATATTAACATTAAATACATACTTTATTTCTATAGACTTTTGTTCAGTTTTTAAGGCGATTATATTATTTTCCACTGCATTAATTTGTTTAAGTCTATCTTCGATTGGTATGAGTTTTTCTTGATGCTTGACTACATTTTCAGTGCAATCATGATATTTAGTTTCAGTCTCTTTCAACAAAGCTCGTTTAGAAGTTGTTTCATCTTTTATGTATTTATAGTGAGCCACATCTTTTTCTATAAATTGGTACAAAACATATATATATATATATATATATATATATATATATATATATATAATAAATATGTAGATCATAGCTATCATTAAAAAAATAGAAAAGAACAAATATTCCATGTAGCTTGAAAATTATGAGCTTTTAAGTACAATCTAAAGCTTCAGTAAATCTGTGACAATTTTTCGATTATTGTAGTTAACTTTAATTGATTTCGATGATTTAAGCTTTCGATCCTTAGTCCTTAGTAATTGCGCCAACTTTTCTTGAAATAAAACTATTTGTTAAACTATGAATTTAGAATTTTCAATATTGATCGACTTTAAAGGGCTATTTGTTTAAAAAATAATTGTAGTGAAGTATGTTTCCAAATTTTATCAAAAGTTTGTGCTTTTAAAAAGATTGTAAAATGATAAAATACTTGATATTTTATAATATATAAAATCAGTAAAAAAATAAAAACTAAACACAATGTTTGCTAATGCCATTACAAATGGTATAATTGGTATAATTAGGCTAAGTTATTGTTTCAATAATATACCAAAACAATATCATAATATTTTAAAATACTTATAAATTGGCTAAACAAAATACTTATCAATTTGTTAACCAATATACTTAACAGTAGAAGTCCTTTAGTCCGGGTCGCTCGGGACCGACCACTGCTCGAACTATTTAAAATTCGGAACTATCGGGCGGTAATTATAAAAACATTAACTTAATAATTAAACTACAAAATCAGTAAAAACTAGTGGGGTGGGTGGCATCGTGCCTTAAGGCAAATTGCTGGAACTTCCCGTACCGTATGTTCGAGGATTACTGAATGTTTTCAAATAGATTATTATAAATATTGTAACATTGTCTAATATTTATAAATATTATATAAACTGAATTGCAGAGTTGAAATTATTTGTAAAGTATATTAGAACTATAGTCAGAATTAAAAATAAATATTTTCGATGAACAAACAACTAAAAAAAAAAATGGGAGAAATTTTTTTTTCCAAAATCGATTATTTTGTTAAAACAAGCAGAAAGTTCTTTGAATCTTTCAAATCGGACGCTTAGTTCTCTCAAAAACTGCCATTTTTTACATATTTAGCTCCGTATCTTCGAAATGGCTGGGCCAGCCTTTGCCAAAAATTAATAAACACTTCTCCCAATCATTACTAATTGAATGTTTTTTAGATCATTCAAATCGGATGCTCCGTTCTCTCAAAAAGTCGATTTCTATTTTCTGCACTCTTTGCTCCGTATCCTCAAAACGGCTGGACCTGCCTTTGCCAAAAACTAATCAGCTCTTTTCCCTATCAATAGAAATCGAATGCTTTTTAAACCATTCAAATCGGTTGATCCGTTCGCCCGGAAACGTGACTGGAAATTTGTATCCATACATACATACACACACACACACACACATACACAAACACACACACACACACACATCCATTTTTTCTGAGGTATGCCAAAACGTTCAGAAACCTTCAAAACGTCGAGAAATGTAAAAATTTTCAATTCCGATTTTCGGCCCATTACAATAACTTACCCTACGGGAAGTTAAATACAAATAACATACCTTATTAACTTCCCATAGGGTAAGTTACTGTAATCGTCCAAAAATCGGATTTGAAAATTTTTGCGTTTCTTCACGTTTTGAAGGTTTCTGAACATTTTAGAATACCTCAGAAAAAATTGATGTGTGTGTGTATGTATGCATGAATACATTTTTTCGTCCACGTTTTCGGGCGCACGGATCAAAAAACATTCGATTCATATTGATAGGGAGATGTGCTTATTAGTTTTTGGCGAAGGCAGCTTCAGCCGTTTCGGAGATACGAAGCAGAAAATAGAAATCGGGTTTTTGAGAGAACGGAGCATCCGATTTGAATGATCCAAAAAACATTAAATTCGTAATGGCAGGGAGAAGTGGTGAATAGTTTTTGGCAAATGCAGGTCCAGCCGTTTCGGAATTACCAAGCGAAATGTGCAAAAAAATGGCAGTTCTTGAGAAAACTAAGCATCCGATTTGAATAATTCAAAAAACTTTCTGCTTGTGTTGACGAAACGATTGCTTTCGATAAAAGATACGGTACGGGAAGTCCAGCAATTTGCCTTAAGGCACTATGCCATACACCGCTAGTTTTATATGTAAAGACATACACATTTAAGATATTTTTTAATTTTATAAAAAACAAATTCAATAGACTAATTTAAAAAAAAAAACATCTGTAGAACATACATCGTTCATGAACCTTGAAGGATGAACGGAATTTACTACGTTTATCAAACAATAGCGAGTTCTTCCGAATGAATTCGAACCGCCCTGAAAACATTCAAATAGGCCTCGACGTTTTTATTTGCTATAAAAGAAATATTTTTGAAAAATCTAACTTTTTGAAAAAATGCCGGACTATCTGGCGTTCCGGACTGTTGAGTGTTGGACTAAAGGACTGTAATTTAAAAACACTTATAAAATTGTTAAAATACTTTTGACATAAAAGTACCTAAAAAATTGTAAAGCAAAATACGGATATTGTAAAAATACTTATTAATTTTGTAAAGACACAAGTTTGTAATTAGCATGCAATATGCAATATTACATTCCAAACTTGATTTAATGATTTACAATACATTGTAATTTTTTTATTTTTTTATATTTTATTATTAATTTACTAATATCTAATTACCTCAATTAGATTTTTATTATGCAATCATTTTAATTTTATTTTACTAATCGTATTTTTTAAGTCCTGTTTGCTATGTAATAATAAAATAAATTAATAATACCTGCACTTTTAGTGGTTGCTTCTTTGGCTTTTCTTATTTTCAGTAATATATCCATGCATTTATTATATTTCGTTGCATCAAAAATAGCATCAAATTTCTCTTTTAATTTCTTTCCTTCATCCAAAGGCCAATAAGAATCTTCTTGGTGACAAAATAATACATCATTTAAAATAGGCTTAGAAACACCTAAAACATTTAAAATCAACTGTTCTATTGCTACTAAAATACATATATTATTTATGCAATTTATATATATATATATATATATATATATATATATATATATATATATATATATATATACATATTATATAAATATATAAAAAGAGTCTAATGAATGGTCAATGACAATTATGAATTTGCTGTGACACGTTTATAGACAGAAATGTTTTATTAAACTTATGCAATCATTTTTCTTGGCCACAATAACCAAAAAAAATGATAACTATTGCACTTTTCTTCACACATTTTTTTTTTAAACATATTTGTTAATGAGGAGAGTATTCATTCCCAAACCTTTTAGTGGCGTGGATTATTGTTAAGTTTATACATTGAAGTTAAAATGACAAAATAATGTTAGTACTAAGTAAATGTTTATCAACATGCATAACAATTTTGTAAAGTTTAATTTTAGATCTACTGGATCATGCGTTATAATGTCCGTTTTACAATTATTAAACCATTTAAACCTCTATCTTTAGTATCCTGATATAACACAACTGTCTCAAAAATCACAAATAATATTGCAAAGCAAAAGCCATTTATGGCAACAGCCAACATATTGAAACAAAATGTGCCTACAAATCGAAAGCCTGCTTGCTACAACTTATAAATTTTTATAAAATTGTACTTTTTATTACTTTTTAGGTTCATTTATGAGTGTTGTACATGTCATTTTATTGAAGACAGTAAGATAGAATTTAATAGATGCTTTATATTGTGTTGAGATCCACTACCAAGGACTCTTATTTTCCATTCGTGAATCACTTTTTTTTCTTCACTAATGTGGAGTCACATTGATTTATAGTAAAATTTAAACAGAGCCCAAATTAAAAAGAGCGAACTAAAAGTCCAAATATGAAATTATTTAAAAGAAACTATATACTTTAAATTCACAAACATTGTTCATGTAAAAACTGGATGTAAAACATTCACTTATATTATTTGTTATAAAAACCAAATATTACTTTACCCATAGCTGCAATCATTTCTGTATTTACATCAACACAACGACCTGATATAGAACCTTTCTGTCCATTTTTGTCTTCCCAATGTAATGCAACATCTTTACTTTTAAAAGTCATTTTACTTTTTTCTTGTGTTAATTGAAAGCTTCTAGTGATCACTAAAACTCTATTAGTTATCGGATCAATCAATTTCATTTTAACTTGACTTTGTGTTATAGCCGATTTGTTGATCTAAAATCATAATAAACTTAGTTATTTATATACATATTTATATACATATATATATATACATACATACATATTATATATATATATATATATATATATATATATATATATATATATTAGATGGTAGAGTCTTGGATTTGTAAATATTTTGTAGAGTTTTGAACAAAAAATAAAAAAAGTAATAAACAGAATTTTTTAAAACAACGTTTCTTTATTTATTTACTGTCGACGTTTTCTTTATTTATTTACTGTTGAAGATAATGGATTTTTTAATTATTAAGATCGTTGAAAAAATAATGTACAAAAATATGACAATATAAACAAAATGAAAATGATAAAATATATGATTGGATTATATAACAAAATATTAGAAATGTTAAAAATTAGAGAGTTTTAGAAAGTTTTAAAAAAAGGTTACTGAAAAAACAGAATTAATTACCTGTATGATTGAATTTACACTAACACTTTTTCACTTAAAAAGATAAAAAAAAGTGAATTTATAAATTTCTTTTCAGACAAATAAACAAATTTTGTACGAAGTTCAGATGAATGAAAAAATGAAAGAGATTTTGAATTACAAAATTTGTTTATTCGTCTGAATTTTTTTTTATAAATTCACTTTTTTTGGTAAAATCTGTTTTAGTGAACAAGTGTTGGTGTATATTCAATCATACAGGTAATTAATTCTATTTTTTCAGTAACCTTTTTTTTTTAACTTTATATTTATAACAGATCACTCTATACGTTCATAGGATTATAGGTTGATGTGGATGTTAGTTTTCCCACTGAATTTAGTAACATATATTGGAGATTATGTAAATACTAAAGTCTGCATTTTAACTACGAATTATTCAAAACTTAATATCCTAATGTTGAGTGATGTGTTATATATATATATATATATATATATATATATATATATGTGTGTACAATAATAATATTTTTCTAAATGAGAATTGTTCTTAACAGATATGTATGTCGATACAATACAATATATATTATATATGTATAATTTAATAAATGGTTTCAAACTTACTTTTGGATTATGACCAAAATTGACTCCTTTATCAGAACCGGGAGGCAATTCTCCAGTGAGTGCATACTTAATACATTCAATGATAGTGGTTTTTCCACAACCATTTTCACCCAAAATTAATGTCAAAGGGCTTTCAAATTTGACTAGCTGTTCATCACCAGGGTCTGTACCAAAGCTCCGAACACCCTGAATACTCATTCGATTTATGATGGACATTTTTTATTGAATCTGAGAAAAAACTTAATAAATTTATCAAAAATAAGCAGGTTTTTAAAAAATAATGTTTTATAAATTGACATAAACTTACTATAGTTGTAGTTTATTAAATACAAGCATTAAATACGGCAAGAAAACAAAATAACAAAAATTGTCGTGATTTACAATGAGAATCAACTAAAACCATTAACAGAAAGAATCAATCTAACGATTTCTTGCGCACATAACCTATTAATTAAGATTTAACGTACGATCACAACACAATTTGACATTTACTTGGCGGCGTAGATAATGCGTAGAACAGAGTTTCAGTCGTTTCAGTGTTTACATTTTTGGTTGCGATCAGTACGCTCCACGCGGGATTAATTTTAAACTTAACGAATAAGAAAATGATCCTCGTCTTGACTCCCAAGATTATTGGATAATAATAATTTAATTTGATTTAATTTGGAAAAATGTATTCAAGTACAGTTTTGATATACAAATCCACGTGCATGCTATGTGCTTTGTTTTATGTTAAGGTGCGTCCACACCTAACGAACGAACAAGAACGAACATGTCGAACAAGAAAATACAAAGAAGAACGAACAGGAACACGAACGAACGCGAAAAATTCCAAACAAACATCTCAAAGCAGTGAGGGCTTAAATCTTTTTATTCGAGGATGTACCGTGAAACGTCAGATTTATTATTTAAAGTGGCGGGAAAGAGCAAAATTATTTAAAGTCATCAAATTTACAAAATTTGTCAATAACAGCAATATCTTATAATAAACACAACATAAATTAATGCATTAATGCACATTTTAACATAAAAAAAGAAAAATGTTTGTCTACATTCGTGGTAGCGTCCACACTGCACATACGAGTTCAAACATGAACGAACAATTCCCTTTGATGTACCGACAAGTTGCGGAACATTGCTCGCCATGTTGTGTTATGTTCGTTCGTGATCGTGTGGCGTCCACACTATGCTGTTGCCGTTCGTTCTGGTACGTTCTTTTATGTTCGTTCGTGTTCGTTCGTTAGGTGTGGACGCACCTTTAGTGTTGCGCTCTTCTTTTATCTATGGTTGCGCTCTTTTAAAGGTGCGTCCACACCTAACGAACGAACACGAACGAACATAAAAGAACGTACCAGAACGAACGGCAAAAGCATAGTGTGGACGCCACAACGATCACGAACGAACATAAACAAACACGGCGAGGGAATTGTTCGTTCATGTTTGTTCTCGTATGTGCAGTGTGGGACGCTACCACGAATGTGGACAAACATTTTTCTTTTTTGATGTAAAAATGTGCAGTCCTGCATTAGTTTTTGTTGTGTTTATAATAAGATATTGATGTTATTGACAAATTTTGTAAATTTGATGACTTTAAATAATTTTGCTCTTTCTCGCCACTTTAAATAATAAATCTGACGTTTCACGGTACATCCTCGAACAAAAAGATTCAAGCCCTCACTGCTTTGAGGCGTTTGTTTGGAATTTTTTGCGTTCGTTCGTGTTCCTGTTCGTTCTTCTTTGTATTTTCTTGTTCGACATGTTCGTTCGTGTTCGTTCGTTAGGTGTGGACGCACCTTAAGAGAGGGTCTACATGAAGGGTGCGTCCGACTTGGACGCTTACGCGCTGTGAGCGCGCCGTGAGCGCGCTTTCATCGTTCAACTTGGCGCCGTGAGTGTCACATAAGTACGCTCGTAGCACATCTATACCCTTCTTTTATCTATGGCTCGTAGCATCATCGTAGCATGTTCGTAGCACATATTTTGCGCTCATACGTGCTCACGCCATGGAGGTAAGGCACTTGAAAGTGTCATGGGCCGCTTATCAAAACGAATGCATGGAATGCATAATCTAATCCCAATTTCATTCATTCTTAAGCCGGCCACAGACGTAACTGTATACTTGCGCAACTGAATGAATGCGCAACCAGGCGTATTTTCACAGCGCCCACAGACGGTTTAAGTTTATGTTCAAATACTTGCGCAAGCATATCACAAATGTCAACTATGGAACGTCAAGACATAACCTAAAAATATATATTTTTCATTAATTTATATATTTACAGCATCAGAAAAGAATTCAAAGTGTTCAGAAGGCTAATTTAATAACTTTTAATTGTCGATAACTTCATAAACTTGTATTATGAATTCGCTACAAAGTAAAATAAGAACGGGACATGTGCTGCCACACGCGGCCAACGAATGAACTTACCGACTTGAATGATTGCGCAATTAAAATAATCGAAAAGTGCTCATGTCTACTCGCTTGCACCAGTCTGTCAAGTTGCGCAAAAAACATCCCACAGACGCTACAGAATACTTGTGCAAGTCGCAGGTTGCGCAAGTATAACAGTTTACGTCTGTAGCCGGCTTTAGTTCAATAAGTACGCAAAAATGGCGAGCTGTGGCATTACAATTATTTTTTAATATTAATATTAATATTAACTTAATTTAAAATTTAATTAATTTTAAATAATTTAAATTTTAATATTAATATTTATATGAATTAAGCATAAGCAAACCAAATTTCATTTATTTATTAATTGTTAAATTCTTTATAATCCCGCTGAATGATCCAGAAAGTAATAAAATTTACACAATTACCGTTACCGCCAGTTGCCGCCATTTTGATGCTTATTGACGCTAACAGTATCCAAAACGAACGGAATTTAGTTATCGATTCTAAGCGCTTATCGGCCAAGTCGAACGCTAAAAATTTGTGCTTATAAGCGTGAGCGCTCACAGCGCGTAAGCGTCCAAGTCGAACGCACCCGAAGTCTACATTGCTCAACATAGATAAGGAATGGTGCGCCCTATGGTGCTCAAGTTCACCGTTCTTTTTAAAGTACTGCTATAGATAAACAAGTATAATACTGAGTACAGCAGTATCATGATTCCTCAATTGTAATACACGTTTTTTTGAACCTTTAATATATATTTTTCTTTTTTGTTGCATGTAAATCTTGTTATCTCAATTATTTTTATTTATTACAATAAAAACAACTAGTAGGTATTGGTATTTTGCCTTGAGGCAAGTTACATGAACTTCCCGAAATGTGTAAATAATCAACCTAATCAATAAAATATACATTAATTTATGGGCGATTAAAAGTATTCCGAGTGGATTTATTACACATAATTGAAAACGAACGAACACTCTATCGTTATACCGTAAATCGTCTAATTTTAATTTTAACAAACGTCAAAAAATCTACTCATTTTCTCAAACTTCGATAAATTTTTAAAATTAAACTACTTGTAGTAAGGCCGTAATATTTCAGTAAGTTCTATAAGACCTTGATATATATCGCCAAAAAAAAGTTTCCTAAAAATCGTCTTATTTTTTTTCAACAATTAATTACAAGAAAACGGCTCGGTAGATTTTCACCTAAAATTAAATCCTCATCGAGGTGCATCAAATGGCTTAAAAATTTGTGAATCAGTTCAGTAGTTTTTGAAAAAACGTCGATTAAAAGTCTGATTTTGATAAATGCCAAAAAAAACGATACTAATTTTTGCAAACTTTGAAGAATTCATAAAATTAAACGACTTATCGTAGGGCCGTAATATTTTAGTATGATCTATAAGACTATGGTATCTACCGTCAAAAAATCATAGAAATCGTCGAAAATGTTTTTCTCAACACTTTAATACAAGAAAACGGCCGGGCCGATTTTTACCAAAAACTAATCAGGTCCCGATTCCCAACCAATATCTTTCGAACGTTTTTGAATTTTCAAAATTGATTTAGAATTGCGGGCTAAAACGTGGGCGAAAATGTTTCACTTTATGCTATTTACAAAGAAACGGCTTGGCTGATCTTGATAAACGCTATTCCTCATCGAGATACATCGAATGGCTTCTAAATTTTTGAAATCGGTCTAGTCGTTTGAGAAAACGTCGATATGGCAAAAAATCTGTCCACATA